ATAAAACCACAACTACGAATAATGTTTGCTTGAGTCAAATTTATGACTAGTTTTTTGAGTGCCGACTAGTTTTTTGAGCTTTGTTGATTAAAAATGTTACAGCTATGTACATAGACACTTTAGAAAATATAACATATGGTTTTAAAAAACAAAACAAATATTGAAAATTTAAATAATAATTTAATATAAATGATCTCAGCTGTACTTAAATGTTTCAATCATCAAGTATTCATTTAATTTACTCACACACATTGTGTTTTTGGTGAACTTTTCAGTTTAATACTAGATACTAGTTTAGATATTATATTTTCAACTTAATAAAGCTTTGAAAAACAAATACAGTTTTCATACTCATTGGCAGTGCCTTAGTTTGTCGGTCAAATGATATCTCTCCAGCCTTTTTAATTGTTTTGCATAGTATGTTACATAGGTAAAGTGCACCAAAATCTGCGGTAAAAATTTGGGTATTTCAGTTCAATAAGTTTCATAAATACACAGCTATCACTTAGAAAAATATTTACAAAACTTTGCGAACATCGTCTGTATTGCAAAAATTAAAGTCTTCAATTTCAAAATTTCAATTTTTATTTCCCTATGGGATCGCTCTTAAAATGAAAAATGCAAAATATATCATTATAGGTATTTCTAATTAAAAGAAAATATTTTAATTAAATTGGTAATCGGTCAGTGATGGAAATTTAACCTTTATTGTCTTTTATTTCTACCAGTTAGTAAACAACAGTGAAACATTTCGATCTACAATTTAAATTAGTAAAATTTAATTAATATCCTTTCTTAATTTTCGAGCCCTTAATTGTTTAAACATTGAAAGGACTTGCACTAAACTCTATCCAAATTTGATTGAGAGGTATTCGTAAATAACGAACTGGATATGGACCATTGTAAATAGTTATAAACAACAACGCACCCTTAATAACGGCAATTACTTTTTGTAAATTTAACCATTGTACCATTTTAGTTTCTATAACTATATAGGAAATTTGCCAAACTTATACAGAAAAATATATGTACAACTCCACGACGCCAAATATTGATTAATTTGCTTGTGCTACTTTATTTAAAAAACAAGAACACACTGGCACATTTTTTATTACAAAAAAAGGGAAATAAGTTATTTTTTATCTGAACATCGGACAGCTTGCACATTAGAGAAATACAATGAGTAATCAACACTCGAATCATATTCGAATCATATTTGAGTGTGTTTCATTTATATGCATTCTGACTCTCTTTTACGTATATTTGACTCCACCTGCTTCACACAAACAGCTGATAGCACTTATAATGATTTATACTCTGCTCATGTAATACTCATGAACACCAACATTCGTTACAAAAGTGATGCAATTTACTTATGTTATGAATCATTCATGAGTATTGTGTCACAGTCAGAAAAAATGTTTGTTGTTGTTGTATACTGTATATATAATTTCATATTAAAACAACTCCTAATTAATTACATACAAAATATTCAAGAATACAAACAAAACACATGTATTTACAATGCTAACAACAACAACACACATCCCAAAAGCATAAAAGTAAACACTAAATAACATAAAGTAAACAAATTACAGCGTTCAAACAAATTTTAAACAAATCTTACAAGTGATCGAGTTATTCATTTTCAATGAGTATACTCATACTCACCTGAGAATATGCTATGATTCATGAATTATACGTGTTCTTGTAAAACTGATTCATTAGCACTGGCATTCGTTTGCTAACATACTTCAATCATTTCTCTGTATAAAAAAAAAATCATTAATACGCATTTAGATTTGGTTTTTAATGAGTGCACTCTGAGTGTTAAAATAACGACTCGTTGCAGTTCTCTGTTGCACATTAAGAAATACAAAATAATTGTAATAGCTGATATAATATCAGGTGTTTTTTAGCTGCATGAGGACTTAAAATGATAATACAAGACAGAAATATTGTTGGAATGAAATTTTTTTATTAAAATATAGTAGATAATTTTATGGCATTTATTTTTTGAACTACAAGTTACATGGTCCATTCAGTCAGCTGAATTTTTAACTATTTTCTGCAATACATAAACGTGGCCATATGGCGTCAATGGTTGCATGAACAAACGCTTCTAATATATCTAGAGTTGTTGGTTTGTCGGCATAAACCAATGACTTAATTTCCTTAGCCTCATAAAAACTAACCAAGAGCCGTTAAATCGCACGAATGAGGGAGCCAGTTAACAGCATCATTCCTGGAATAAAACTTGTCGCTCGCTATTCACCGTAACTCCTTTCTCATTCCGATAGAAATAAAAACCGTTGATGCGGAACTGCAGTCAATTTTAATGGATGTAATGGTGATTCGTTAACGGCTTGAGGATTATCTTCGCTCCATATGCGACAATTTTACTTATTGACGTAGCCATTTAATCAGAAATAAGCTTCATCACTAAAAACAATTCTACTCTATGAACTTCGCGAACAGATTTTGTTTTTTAAAGTAAATTTTCACAATTTGTAAACGTTTTACTAGCGTTGAACGATTTATAAAGAATTGCCAAACCTTGTTGAATAGAAATGTCAACACAGTTTAACATTCTCAGCTATCAAACCAGTATAGATAGTTCTCATTTAGCTAAAAAAAATACCAGATATATCTCCTAGTTTTAGACAGAATATATGCAGTTAAAAATGAAAAAGAACACTGTAGAATGTACTCATTTTCACACAAACAAGATTTATATATTTCTGACGTCTATGTTTGTCTATGTCTATATTTGTGGTATCGTGCATTTTCATTTGGTTTTTACCTGTCGTAACTAAAAAAACTGGTAAAAATTGCATTCTGCATTGGTCTTCTACAGTTCCTTTCATACGAAAAATATTAAACTAATACCTATGTTTCATTCGAGGTAGTTAAAAAGGAGTTCAACTGATTTCTCAAAAGTACTATAGGATACCCACATATGAAGTTTAATTTTATATTATCAATTTGAAAAATAATTAATCTATTTAATATTGCATGTGTTTTTGTTTAAAGAAAAAAAAACGTTTGAATTCTTTTGTTTTCAGTTTTTTATTTGCTTTAAAATTAATAATGAAATTCTTAAAGTGTTATAATAATAAACGTAAGGTGAAAACAAGTGAGGATCAAAAACAATTTCAGGATTTGCATAGGCTTGCCTTAAATTTCTACAATGTTAGCCATATACTCTCATCATTTACTGCTAAAAACACAGGTGGGGTATAGATGTTTCCACTAATGTGGGCAAATTAGGTGTATAGTGATTGTTTAAAATTCAACAGAGCACTTCTCTTGTAAAACAATGGAGTGAATTGTTGTAAGGATCTGATATTTACCCTTTAAGGCCGTGTGCAAGTTCGAGTAAATTGATGTTAAATTGAGGGAAATGTTGGTATTTACCAGAATTTCGAATAGATGAAATTTAGGTAAATTAGGTGTTACCATTGTGAAAGTTTTATAAGATGTTTAATAAATAAATAAATAAATAAATTTGAAAACTTTTAACCAAAAATAATAACAAAGGGCAATAAATAAATAAATATTTACATAAGTGCAGTGCAGAAAGTCCCTTGGAAATTTTAATTTACTTTACCTCAATTTACTCGAACTCGCATAGGGCCTAAATACAAAGTGTTGGTCGTTTATATACGATTTTAGACCATCATAGTATAGACCTCATATTGGCCACATTTTTCAAAAGCTAATATAATGTAATATTTTCTGTTACAATACTCTATAGGCTGGATTTACTTAATAGTTTCGTGTTACCTTTTAAAATCAAATTTAAGATTCGGAACGCATTATGACGAAATACCAATTTAAGTTAATAGCAAAACAGGGTTTCAATCATTTTGTAAGTTGTGAGTAAAAGGCTTATATTAAGAGGCTATTAAACATTTCCGTTAACATCAACCAAATAACATTTTAATTTTTATTAACTAATATATATCTATTTATTTATTTAATTATTTATTGTAGCACACCTGAAACTAAATAACATTATTATTAGAGCAACGTTTATGTACATAATTCCATTTAGAATTGTCACGATAAATGTCAATTGTAAAAAGTATAGCTCTATAGTTTATAGAGTTTACATATTATTGCCACTATTGATAAAGTTGAATGATCATACAGTTAATATTTTATTCGAAAACTTTTTGGAATTGGTAATATGAACTTATTCTCATATATTGTTATTCTCATACTTATTCTCATATATAATGTAACCAAAAAATATTTGACTTTAAGATAATAAAAAAATTTTTATTCAATATAAATATTTTAATTAATAAACTGGTACTTTCGCTTTGAATTTAATATTGTTGTTGTTAAGGCTCGCGTGGCATATAATTAAAATAGTTGACACTTCCATATAACTTTTTCTATATAATAAAGCAGCAATAAATAAATATTGGTATTTTGGTCACTTAAACACAAATAATGATTTGTTGTATCATGGATGAGACATAGTCCATAAGTCAAATCTAGTGTACAAACGAGGTGCGCTAGAGAAAGCCTTATTACATGCTTTCCTAATGATTGGCTTGTGACTGATTAGCACCGATACCGTACCACTAAATTAGTTTCGGATTATTGAAGAAGCTGACTGATATAATTTTTGTTCAATTTATGCCAAATGAATCTTGTGGTCTGACTAAAATTTTTATCCACTCAAGCTTTCCTTGATAAATTTAGGTATTCATGTTTAATTGATAATTTAGACATTGCAACAGGAATACCAATATCAGAGAGTGAATATTAGAGAATAGAGTTCTTGCTTTGACAAGGGAAACCCATTAATCCTGCCATTGAAAACAAATCATATTAATACGGAGTGTAATATTTCTATTAATAAATTAATTATAAAATAAAATCAAATAATTTTTTTTTTTTTTTGATATAAAGAATTTTAAGTAGTTTTAATAATTATTATTATTACTTTGGCTTTTATTGTAGTTTTATTCTTTTTATATTTACAGAATTTCATGCAATCCAGATACTGAAGTCGATATTGCTGATGATGATGGTGAAGAAGCGTAGCCATTACTAATGGCAACTGATTTCGACACTGAGAGTGATAATAGCAGCAATAACAGTAACAACAGTGATAGCAACTGCCATCATCAGTTTACCTATCAGCCACAGCTTCATAATGTCGTTAGCTAGCATTGGAACTATTTTAGTAAATTTTACTTTTAGCAAAACTGAAAGCAACGTTTACAAAAATTGTAGAAAATTCAAAATTTTATTACTCTTAATTCGTTGGTAGATATTACCAACATTCTAACGAAATATAAAACGATAAATTTTAATTCATCAAAAATGATGAAAACCTAAAAGAACAACATTTAATCGGTTTAATCGGAATCAGAATGCTAATCAAATAAAAAAAATTAATTTTATTTTAATTAAATTAAATTAATTATAATTGTATTATAAAATTTAAGGATTAGGAATTGTATAGTAAATAGTAAGGCTGTGAGATTTGCTTATGAAAAATGTTAAAAATACTTAAATTTCACTTAATTTTATTGAAATCTAATTCGTTGTGAAACACAAATTATTTATTAAAATATTTATTTTTAATTATTAAATAAAATGTTTAAATTTAAAATTTATAAGCTAGCTACTTAATATTGGGTTATTTTTAAATTTATTGTTATGTTTAAATTATCTTAGGTTTAATTGTTAGTTAAAATAGTTTTAATTGGTTTTAAAATAATTTATGTTACTATTTTTGCTTCGCTATATGTTACTGGAATAAGTGTCTTTGTATATACAATGTTATAAATAAAAAATTAAAAACATTAAAAAACATGTTTTATTTATTATTTAGTTATTTTTATACCTCTAAGTTATTTTGAGAATAAGTGGTCTTAAATGATATATTCTTTAATACTGATTAATTAGAATCTCATTTCAGATTTAAATTATTTTTTTAATATTTAAAAAAATTAATTATATTATTAAAAAAGTATACTATAAAATATTAACTATAGAATTATTTTTTATAAATTATTATAATTTGTTCGGTGAAACAATCAAAATATTTTTTGGTTAAGAATTGTATCATTATAAAACTAATATAGATATTATTATTTGCATACAATAAAAATTATAAAATGTTTAAAAATCAAATATATTTAATCAGTATAGTAATATTACTTTTTAATTATAGTAAACAATAATATATAAATAATGTTAATATTATTTATTTTAATATCATATAATATTATAATTAAAATTAGTTATAAATAATATTAACAAAATATTAAATTTGATTTTAACGTCAATATGACGGCAGTGACTATTAATGAAATCACTGTATTTAATGTGGAGCTGTTTCAAGTATTTTCTAGTACCCATCATCAGTGGTCTAGAAATTATTTCTAATATTTAATTATTTGTAAATAAGTTTTTGAGAATGCAAATATCAAGGGTTGAATTATCAAAGGCCAAATTAAAAATAATATAAATAATTTTTGTTTTAGTTCACTACTTTTCGAAACCTTTCCAATAAAATATAAACTACCAACTTGTAAACATATAAAAGTGTTGTCATTAATAATTAATATACTTTATTAATATATATTTTTCCTAGTGATATGTATATCTTTATAACACTTAATTATTAAAGATTTATCCATATACTTTTAATATTTTAAAAGTTAATTAATATAATTGACTAACAAGTCATAAGATATTTAGCTACTTATGAGTTTCGATGTAATGATTTACTAACAATAATATACTAAATAATTATAATTTTTTCATTACGATATCTGCAAATATTATTTAATATACTATACTCGTATATTATTCATCACATTCTGTTGTTGAATATGGTATTATCTTAATTGGAATTATTCTAAAAATATTATCACTTGTCTTGTCCTTTTATAATGTGCTTTCGATCTATATTATTTTTTATAAATCTTATGTTATATGTTATATCTAGATGCAAACATATTACAAATTAATGAAATTGCTTCTGCAAAAGCCAAAAGTGCACTGCTTTCATCAGTTGTGATTATAAAAAATAATTACAATTTAGGTTCTGTATTTCTATTAAAAATATTTCCTAATCCTTTGTTCAAAAGATTGCACAGATTACATATATTGACTTCGATCATTTTAGGAACATAGCACTAGTAATATCTTTGATATATTAGTTCGAGTTGACAGAAGGTTATCAGTCATTGTATTTAAATTTGGTTTTAAGCCATCCAAAAAAAATTTGTTTCTGAGGGATTGGATAGTAATAATAACTTTAGAATTTAATGTCAGAATTTCAAATTCTGATATCTAAGAATCTAGATGAACATTTATTTTTTCGTTATCTGTTTTTCGTTAAATGAACATTTATTTTTTAGTTATCTGGAACATATTATAAACAAAAATAAATAAATTTAAAAGAAAATCTATAACTTAAGAGACTTTTTTGTATTTTAAGATTTTTTTAAAATTTATAATATGAATTTTTATATGATAAAAGTGTTTTTTTTATAAAGATTAAACAGACCAGATAATTACAAATATTATTTTATTATGATCTGTATTCATACGACGACAGTTAAGAAGCTTAACAATTAAAAAGTTTGAATACTAAATATAAATCTTTATAATGAATTTAAGATTATATTTACTCAGAATGGAGTTAGCAGTATATTCAGTTCTATTATATTATGGCCATTTAATTATTCAAATTATTTATACATTTATTAGATTTATGAATTATACAAACTTAATAACAATTATGTAAAATGTATTATACAGCTTCATATAATAGCTTGCAATTAGCAACAATTATTATATTTAGATCAAAAGTTATTAAGTCAGTTCGAAGTCGATAAAAATTGTTTTCACTTTTCTCTTCACTTTTCATTTAATCTCATGTATTACTTCTTCCCTGGACCATCTACTATATAAACCTCATCTCCAGTCTAGTATTCCCTTAACTTAATTACTCTAATGGATTTACAGTTTTTTTTTTTTGCGCCACATTTTTTTCATTTAACTATCGGTTTAAACTTCTTTTTCACTGGAACATCGTTTTCCATTCTTACGACGTGATCAAGTCAGTGAAGCCGCTGGGTATTAATTTGTTGTACAAGGCAATGTCTTTAAGAATCCGGTACAGCTTGTGATTTACTCGTAGTGTTTTTAATCATGTTTTCTTGAATATTTCTGACTTATAATAGACAGAATATAGTCATAGTGCTGTAAAAAAGCAAATAATTTTTTTATCTAAAAAAATAAAGTAAGAGCAGAATAAGGAAATCGTAGTCTACCTTATTTTAAAATGTTTTGAATTCCATGAGCTAGAAAAGTACATAACTGTTATGAATAAGAAACATAAATATTTGTGGTGGTTTAAATAAAAATATAAAAAATAAATTGGAAACCTCAAAAAAACCCTAAGAATCTCTTACAGAATAAGCTGAAAGAGATTTTTCGAGCCATTTCAATATTGCCCTTAATATTATTAAACATATAAATAAGTTTTAATTAGTTTATAAAGAGCGTCAGTTCATGGCATCTTAGTTCCATTAACTTAATTGTAGTGTGCCTTCGCACATGAACTGAATAGTAACATTAAAATTAAAATTAAAATTTAAACTGTGCTTTATTTATGCTGTCAAGAATTGTTAATTACAATTTTGTGACTACATCTTTATTGCATAAAGCGTAAGATTTATTGTTAAGTACTTAGACTGTCTGATTAATATGTTCATACTAAAAAGATTAAACGGGGTAGACGCTTTAGGTAGTTCAGTTGAAATAATTTTTAATTTTTTTGTATTGAATTGCAAACCGGTTTTATAACTTTCTTAATTATATAAATAATACTAGCCAATTACATTATTTATAAAGCGTAATTTAGTTGGTTAAAAGCTATAATTTCAATTAGTATGTATATTGTTACATTTCATACAATGTTTGTTAGAACTATAAAATATTTATTTAAATGTACGATTGTTAACCGACATCACATTTCATTCATAATTTTAGCTAAGACCAACTAAGACACATATTTATGTTTATCTATTGTACGAGTATAAGTATAATATACGAGTATAGTATATTTGTATATATTTGTATATAAAAAGCGGAAGTAAGTCTCAGATACGCTATAGTTGTGACGAAGCTGCGACATTTTTCACTTTTCATTTTTTAAATTAACAAAACGATTAATGTGATATTCTAAAAGGTATGTACGAATATGTAGCTTGCATATAAAAGGCAAATAACCACATATTATTTTACTAGTCCTGTTCTACCTGTATTTGGCGAAACACTGTGATCGGTGCAAATAAAATCTTACTGAATTTTCAATAATTATAAAATAAAATAACCGTGTACTATTTTATAGATTAAATAAATAATATTCTAACGTTTAATATGGTTTGGAAATTATACTTTACGAAAATGCTGCCAATATTGATGGTATTGATGTGTGCGGTTATTGTTAGTGCAAATTTACGTCAGTATTAAATATTATTTTACTTGAAAAATATTTAAAACAAAAATAAAAAATTATTAAGAAAATAATAAATATAATTTTCATATATATTATTTATATAACAGAAACAGAATTGCCCCATTGTGAAACATATTAACTGTTAATACTCTTTGAATGTGTAGATCATATTTATTAAATGGTTTTAATTATCTTTAGCGAAAGAGATAATCGTTAAAATATGTTCAAATTTAATCATTTGTTATAAGCCCCTAGTGGCATTATAAGGACGCACTTCATATTGTGTTTGAAATATAATAAACAAAATTTTTTTTTTTATAAAAATTGACAAATATGAGTTAAAGTAGCAGCTCTGTAGCAAGTCTGTGGGAATAATAATAATAACCCTCATCTGTTTATAAGTGTTCAAATTTTATTATTATTATTATTATATATAAATAGAATTTTATTGTATATGATTTGAATATAAATATTTACATATCTTACTGAATTAAAATCAATAACGGTATATAATAAGACTTTTCAATAAATCAATAATATATATATAATAAAATAATATATAAACATGTTTGATTTGACTACGACTACTTCAAATGTAGAGAACTATCAAGCAGTTTTGTTATACATTACAATATATTATACAAATGTCAAATTGTCAAAGGTTTAGTGTTAATTTAGTAATAATCTAAAAGAAATTCATTATTAGACTACTAATTCGGGAGTAGATCAGAAGGCTTTATTTGTTTAACCCTCCTCAGCAGGCCAGATGTAATAGAAATATTATGATGTTAAATAAATAAATTTATGTTTAAAATTTATTAGAATAAATTATAAATTAAATTATATTATAAAATTAAATCTAAAAGATATAGCTGATGTGTAAGGATATTGAATTTTGTTGTGACGATTGAATACAATAATCATTACACTAAATATTGTAATGATAAAACAAAATATTCTTCATCTGCATATAATTTAATCTTTATTTGTCTTAATTATTTAATCTAGAATTATCACGAATTGAATGAATTAAACATCCCATATGTTTTTCAATAAAGAAAATCGACACCATCAGTAAGAGAAATTTATTAATCAAACATTTAATTTATAGCCCTAGGATATGAAGGTTACGAGCTCATGCATGTCTTTAATGGGTCCTAAGGCCTCTTACAAATTTGCAAAATTCCACTTCAGGAAATAATAATAAGTGAAGAAAAAGATATATTTAAAATTTTTTCAGCAAAAGAAATATCACATAAGATAGTTACGCTGATCAGTGAAACGTGGCACATCTTATCTCTCATAATAATAATACCTTTTCAAAGATATTTCCTTTTTTTATTAAGAGAATGTTGGTGTGAAGTTAATAATAAAAATGAACTCCCCAACTTTCTTTTATTAAATTTTTTGTTTTTTATTAAATTAAAGTTGTGCAATTAGGGAATTATCTTCCAAAGTTTATGCAATTCGTAAGCAATCAGTTTTCAAAATTGATAATAATTGTTATATATTTTTATTAATTTTATTAAAATAATTTAATAATTAATAGTATTTTTTTTTCAAGTTAGTTTATCACATACTTTTAATCTAAACAAGTCATTAATGTTCGTGAATATATGTTATCATTGTACTTAATAAATATTTATTAATATTTAAAATATTTTGTCTTACCTTAATATATTTTAACTTTTGATCTTTCACATTGAATTAAACCTCTATGCTCGTGAATTAATTTGAATTTTATTACATTGAATTAAAGAGTACCGTAAATATGAATATTATAATATTTAATATTGTATATTAAAATATAATTACATACTCTATCATTACATACTCTATCATCACTTTTGTAAAATTATTTTCTTTTTAAATACTCTGTTCGCCTGTTCCGTGATGAATATTCCAAGTACAAAATTTATGTCAGAGGAAACTGTAACCCCCTGTGTTAATTTAGACAAAACTTTAATAAAAATTATATTATTTGATCTTAAAAATATAAACCATAAGGGAACTGTCTTTCCGCTTTAAGGACTTGTTATTTACTAATGAGGTCACATGCGATTTTATGTCAGTTGCAATTTTTCTTTGAGACAAATCTTACCCGTACAACTATTTTTTTTCAAACTATAAGCTAGAGATGAATTTAGAATTTGCTAATATGGCGGCAAATTGTTAAAATTGTTTAAAATGTATTTCCTGCCTTTAATAAATATTTTCAACCATAGTCTAAATTTTATGCAAATTAATTTTATTGTAATTAAATATTTTTACGTTTTAAACACATAAGTATATAAGTTTTTAATTGAAAGAAAACTGATTTTTAAAACATTCCCTCATAATTTATTAACAGAAGTTTAAATATTTTGCACTGTCTTTTGGAAACAAATAATTCTAATTCATAACGGTATTCTATTCTTGACTATAAGAATAAAACTAATCTAGTTTTTAAAGTTCAGTGTCAAAACTCGATTCGTTTTTAGCAATATTAAAAAAGTAAAAGAAGATTAATTAAACACATTTTAAAACTCTTATAAATAAAATAGATACACAAGTGGCTCTAAACGGGATGCTACCACAATATTTGCGGTAATCTTCTATTCGGATTTATTGATTTCTGCCATATATATTTTCATATCAGAAATCTATATTACCAATATTACTCTTGAATATACAATTGCTATTAAAGGAAAATTTAGTATTTATTTAGACGAGTTTTCCCAAACCCATGGCTTTGCATACATATCAATCTCAGAACCTAAAAGTTCTACTACCTTAGTAGGTAGTAGTTGATCAATTTACTTTTTCAAACTGCTCTTGCATCACATTTCAACTTACAAAAGCGTTGATATGGGAAATGCAATACAAAGACGGAAAAATTTACTGGTCATCCACACCAATACCTTCTTCCAATCCAAATGGAATAAAAACCTCAGAAAGACGTGATCACAGAAAGTCATACGGAAAACATGCAGTAAATAAAGTAGTTTATGTCATCTAATGATATCATGGATTCCTGTCTTATTTTTTTCCTGTTAAATACAATCACATTTTTGGATAAATACCTCTTTTCATTGTCTGGTGGTTTAGCCTAAACTTTGTATAAATTTATAATTTTCTTGCAGAAATTTGATGCCTTAATTCTGTTCAAAATTTTTCTTATTTTTCCATATCTTTAATCTATTTAAGTGATAGTTCCTATTTATTTTTTTAAATTAACATTAATTTTTGAATTTTATTCTTCGTTTCATTACAACAGTCGCAGACCTTTGTAGTTCGTACTTTCTTGTCTCCTAGATATTATATCATATTTTTGTTATATCTACATTATAAATAATTAATACTATCAATGATATCACTAAAATAGAAATATATCCATAATTTAATGTAATAAATTTTACAGTAGTATAGCACACGAACTTCAATTGAAGCATCACTTCATCTTTTTTTAAAGCGGATATTTGTACTTGGAAGAGAATAAAACTGTTTTCAATTAAGTAGAATTAAAACTTTTTGATTCACGTACCCACTGTACTGTATGATTAAATCAAAAGTATTAGAAATCTAATTCATAATCACTGGAGTCTATAATTTGTTTGTTCAGAAAAAGTAGCACGACAAGTTGGATCTTGTTAACTTTGGTTGAGACACAACCAATGTCAGCTAATAATATGTATTTTTTATGCATAACTATTTATAAAATATTCTGGTGTAATTACATAAAAAATAAATTTTCTCAATAATAACAACAAATTACTTATATAAACATTATCTCTAACGTAAGCCAAAAGGAAGTTAACTTTTTTGTTTCATGTTGTGTTGCTAGTGGCCTTTCAATAAGAGCATTATTGATTAGAAATTATCTTAAGTAATATGTTTTTATACATATCTCAATGGGCAGATTAAATTTATTGTTTAATTGTAGATAATTAATGATTTTCTAATAAAAAAATTTATTGTAATAACAATATAATAAGCAAAGTATTTACAAACAAGAATGTATACCAATAACATGCTTGGCCACAATCGTCATTAGTCTTTTTTATCCCTATTCAGTTAAATAGCACCAATATACTAATTCTTTATTGCATTATATTTGCATACAATGTTTTAAGATCTGGGTATTATCATTTAACAATTTTAATCAATTTCCTCCTGCATACCTTTACAATACTCAAAGGCGGCTAGTGTAAATTGATTACATATATTACAGCAGTGGTTCCCAACCTTTTTTTGACCAAGGACCACTATGATGTTTTTGTTTTTGGTAGGGATCACAAAGTTTAAAAATAATAATAAAATGTATGATTATTCTAATATTCTTTATGCATCTCTGGTTTATTGTATAATGAATTGTATAAGTGCATAGATACATCATATAGCCTAAAAATAGAAATATAACTACTTGAAAACTTTGTGTGCTTATTTTCTAATAAGTGAGGTCTCAGTGAACAAACGAGAATTTATGTATCACAACTGTTAAATTTGATTCAAATTTATTTAAGAATTTTCTAATAACCTACTTAATATTATTATGAAGAGCGTTTTACTGTCGCGTTCGTAAAGTCATATGTGGTTTTTGTTACAACCTTCTCTCTTACAACCTTCTGTTGGAAAAATGCAAGAAAAAGCCTCTTACAATTTACTCAAAAAATTTTATTTTCTTTCTTATGCTCAGTCGTATTTTAGCAGAATTATTAAAGAAATTTTCACATTATTTAACAAATTGTTCTAGTAGACATTTTTTATATGCATGTTTAACTCAAATTTCTGATTGCAGCTTCTCTACCGCAGAAGCAATATGGAATATGTATAAATAATTTATGCTTCTTCCATGAGAAGTGTTAAGTTTCAAGTGTGAAGAACATATAATCTTCCGGCAGTATCAGTCCGTGGCACAGCAAAATTCAGTCCGTGGCAAAATTAAAATTTGACGATCAAAATTCAATATTTTCTGAACCAATATTGAAATAACATTTTCTTTGAGGTGGGTTTTCTTAAATGTATTTTGAGCCCAATGAATCAATAAATTGAACCCAATTTTACTAGAACCCTTCAACAATTTATACTCCACAATTCTTTTCAATACGTTTCTCTGTTTCTACTATAAAAAGAGTTTCGCGCTCCGATCAAAATTATATATTTATAACATATTTTAGAGATGAAGAAAAAATCACATACCTAATTTTATCAAAGTTAATTACAAGTTTTAATAGAGTGAAAGAGTTTCTTTATTAATCAGTTATATACGCATCCATATATTTCGTTATACTCTATATTAGCATATTTAATAATATAATTAATTAATTTAATACTTTTGTTAGTTTAATCTGGCTGGTCTCACAAAAAGTCAATCTATCAGATTTTTATCTTTATTAGTTCAAAAACTGAAGTAGTAATTTATCCATAAACTGTCAAACGTTGTTCGATTAAGATGATAAATAGTAAAAGTTGCTTATGCATTTTAAACGTTTAGATCCGTTACAGTATGAAAAAATTATATCATTCTATATTATCTTATTTATTATATTTTATTTCACATATTTTGTTTTTTATCAATAACAACAAACATTTGTATTTATAGCTCCGGATATAAAAAAGTGTAAAGCAGCAGATGTCAAATGCATAGCGGATACAATAAACGATGTTTTACGTCGCTATCCGAAAGGAAATAAAGAGTTTGGTTTAGATGAAGTTGATAGTGTTCATCTGAAAGATGTTGTAGTGTCCCAAGCGGCAAGTGATACTCCAGTGCAATTGAATTTAAAATTTAAAACATTAGTTGTAAATGGATTTGAGAGTGCGAGGGTGGATCGTGTTGTAGGATTTGAAAAAGATGTTAACAATTCAAAATTCGAGGTATACGGTCATACGCCAGAATTACGCATGAAAGGGCAATACATCGTGAATGGAAAAGTGCTAATCTTACCGATAACTGGTGAAGATAATGCTGAAATTATAATGAAAAATTCCAATTTCGCTTTTAAATTAAAAGTAGCTTTAGTAAAGAGAAATGGGATAAATTATGCCACCATAAAACAAATTAAGACAATCACTGAACCACAATCGTAAGTATGGCAGATTTTCAAAAATTTTCTGTAAAAAAATGAAACTGTAAATGGTAACAAAATTTATTTTCAGTTTAAAAGTACAACTTGATAATCTGTTTAATGGCAATAAGGAACTAAGCGATAGTACGAATAAAGTTATCAATGATAATTGGAAGGATATTTGGGCGGAGTTGCAAGATGGTATTAATAAGGTTTCAGGAGATGTCATAAGGAAACTAATTGAAAATGTGCTCAAAGAATTGCCTTATGATGATTTTTATAAAAGTGATTGAAATTATTACAAAACTGTAAAATTTTTAGGATAAGTTTAATATTTAATATTTAGAAAAATTTCGTACATAAATTAAACCAAATAATAAGATCAGGAGAGAATTATTATTAAACGTAACATATTAATAAATTAATAAAAGAAATTAAAGCAAAATAATAGAGTACAATATTTTACAAATAATATTTTATTATTAAAGTATCAGATATAATTGTAATTACAAACTTTCGTGATTTTGTCCTTTTAAATCATAATTTCCATTTTCTGTTAAATCATCATAAAAGATGTGATCATTAAATACTTCATCTCTGTGATACATGGTTTGAAAACCTTTTGATTTTTCACCTTTATTGTAGCTTTTATGGTTCTCGAAAAAATTATCGATCGCAGTGCTGTTCTTTAAATCATCAATTTGATATTTTTTAATTTTATTTTGGAACAATTTTTGTATCACATCTTGTACACTGAGATATTTAAGTGGTGACACCGGCAAAACATCTTCCAAATTTTTATCAAGTGGTATTTGTTTTAAGGATGTATCTTTGCCACGAGTCTGATTTATTTCACTTAACATATCTTCATCGGATATTTGAGATAAAAAACTTTTATCTACTGTTTGAGTTAAATCTCTTAATAATGGTGTACCACCATCTTTAATATATGCATCAACATATGATGATTTACTTGGTTCTTTTGGCACTGTAATGTCATCAAAATTTGCTGATCTAGTTTGATTCTTTTGCCTTTCTTTATACAATTTAGCCAATTTAATAGGTTGAATTACTATTGCATATGGCAAACGATTACTTTGATAATCCTTTTGGGTATTATTATTTGGCTTAAGCTTATAATCCACTTTAGTATATAAAACACTTGTTATTTTCTCATAACCAAATGCATCTTTTCCTAAATATTTTCCTACAATTGCACAAATTTTCATATCTTTTGGTGTTGGTATATCATTCGTCGGATATTTCGGACATTGTAATATAAAATAAGCTTGAGTTGCATTATCCAGATTATTAGTTAATGCCAGGTTTACCGGCAATTTGTAGTAGTAATAATAATTTCGTTCTACAACGATTGCCTGAATTATAGAAACTTCTAGTAATATTTTAAGTAATATTTTAATTCCAATCAATGACAAACTGTACATTACGAGTATTTCAGAGCACTTGTCGATTTAAAACTAAATTAATTTATCGTAGTTATTTTGCTTTTAAATGAAGTTTTATATTATTTTGCGCATGAGTAAACACAAGTAATCAACATACCATCTAAAAATTATTTGCAGTTACTTTTTGCACTTTTTTATTTGTGCAATAAAACTATTTGTATATTTGATAAATTTTACACTAAACTAACAAATACATTTAGTATAAGTAAAAGGTTGGAAAAAGATAATAAGATGGTCAGTTTATATACCTAATTATTTTTTTAACTTTTTAATAAATTTTATAATTTCTTTAAGATATACCCTTCATATATTTTTAATCATATATTAAATGTAAAAGAAAATGTTCAACAACACTAAATATAAATAGTTTTATTAATATATTAGTACATCTATATACATATAATCTAAATAATATAATTCGAAAAATAATTCAATTGATATGTTTATATATAAATAATAGAATTTGAAAGAAAATAATAGAGTTCTGGATTCCTTGTTGAGCGTTGTACTGCAATCATAGTATATGTTTTGTGGTAATAACTGACTATAACCAAACAGAAGATATTAAGTTTTACGAATGAAGTTTAGAACCTGCTCTATGGAGGTTATCTGAATATCAAATGGAATTAAGATCTCTTGACCAGAATCAAAGGCTGACAGTCATAAAAATGTAAAGTTTTATACCTTTATATGCACAGTAGATATTAGGTCACTTTAAACATCTTATCCATCTCATCCATCTTATTAAAAATTTTCATTTATAATTTATTATTTTAATAATCACATTTTATTTCAATATTTATATGCTAATTAGTCAATGTTAAATACTACATAATATTTTAAATATGTTTAAGGTTACTCATTTAGAAAGTTTTAAATATAAGTTTAAAAAAGAAAGTCGAGGGCATAAAAAGAATAATAATTTGAAGTATTTTTATTGCTTCTAAATAAAAAACAAATTTTACAGTATACAAAATCCAAGAAATATTAAAAGTATAATCATTAAATAACATCATTAAATAATTAAATACCTTAATCATATTGTATATAAAAGTGCTGTATATGAACGATACTTAAACCATACATTCAAATGTATTTTATTGCAGCATTTATTACCAGGAGCAATAAGGTAGATAAGAACCGAAAAAAATATATAGACAAAAAAGAAATAATGATATAATATTTATTTTCAATATTAGTAATAGATATGATTCCGATTTCCCAGGTAAATCTATTCGATAAAAAATTTAAGTAAAGACAGCTATTATGAACAAATTTTTTCACTACGTAATATGTCAATATAGATTAGTTTTAAAGTTAAAATTTTTTATATGAATATCACCTAATAACAAATAGAAGCACATTCTGACGTATCTCTTTGTTGTTGTCCGTAGTTTATGGGTCAATGTAAAAAGTTAACAACCTATATATCGCTCTACTAAATACGTTATTAGATGAAAACTTAAAAAAAAGTACAAGCCTACTTGGTTAGTTCGACAGTCTTCAACTACCTGTAACTAGGGGGATTAAGAAAGTTGTTCCTAATAATTATTCGTTCAGTAGTTTTTGGTTATTATTGTTTTACTTATTTAAGTCACATCTCTACACTATTTAAGTTGGGCTGTTATCAGTATTAGAACAATCCTATTTAATACATATGCAATCCACTACAATTTAGAGAAATAATTATAAACTTATTATATAAGAGAAATGATTTAATAGTAGTGCGGAAGTAATCTTGTATAGTTATTACTAACAGTATTTATTAAAAATAAAAAAGTTTTTATTTCTTTAATTCATTAAATAATATTTTTATATATGCATGTAGAAGACAAAGAAGCCAATTTTTAAAAGTAAGAAGGGCTCGAATAGAAAATTCAAGAACAAAATTTAAGTTAGACGGATTCAAATAGCAAAGAAAAGACAAGGACAAATATTTAATTTAATTTATTGAATTTTGACTGACCATACCACGCTGTTTCGAGTATTGCCAAGCACTCACCATCAGTGGTCTTAAGAAATATTCTAATTTCTTGATTCTTAAATTTTTGTCCTTGTCTTTTCTTTGCTATTCGAATCCGTCTAACCTTTAAAATAGTTTCTTTTCGTCATAAAGACACGTCACTCTCGGCAAAAAAAAATTAACATTAAAAGTTAATTTATTAAAATTTGACTGACCATACAATAAAATAACTTAAAATATTATTTTTTTAAAATTGTAAAAATAAATCTTTTAAAAATTATAATTCATTGAAAATCGTAGACATATTAGCATCTAGAAAGGTTTTTTTTTGATTTTAACAGAATTTAATCAAAATTTTATAGGAAAATAATATTTTTAATATTTAATCTATAGTATTTTAGTACAAAAAATTTAAATTAGTATTATAATTTGGTATTAAATTTGTAATAAATTTTCATTACATTAAAGATGTGAAGCGTTGCACATGTCCAAGCAAAAGATAATAAAAAGTTGGACCCAGGCAAGTGATGCGCAAAATTTTTATTTTATAATAAAAGGTCGCTTAAGTGTCAATTTAATTGATAAATTAATTGATGCATAAATCACCGAGCAATCAAATCGATGGTTGAGAAAATAACTTTATACACTTAATAATAATATTGTATTAAACCTATATTCTAATTTACATATGTACAAGTTTGTATATTAAACTTAATATATTAAAATAAATGGGATTTTAAGAAAATAAAATTTGTACTTATTATTTATAGGATAATTACACATAATGTACATTTTTGACAGAATGAAAGTATTTTTCATAAACATTAGCTTTAAAGTTTAGGCTTTAGTGTTTATAACTCGAAATTTACATGTCAATTATAAAATTAAATAAAATAAAATCGCATGAAAATTAAACACTTCTAAAAGTACAATACAATTATAAGTATATAATTCAAATAAAAATAAAATACCTAACTTTAAAATAGAAAAAGAAAAGTCATTTCAAGCAATGGTTTTGATGAAGTCTACACACAGAGAGTTAGGATACATTTCAATATACATGGTTCATTTGCCGCACTCATTATATAGTCAACAGATTTAATGTATATTTATTTTGCCAAAACTTACAAAACATCTATTCAAAACAAATCAAGACTTAACAATACCTTCTGATCAAAAAGTATCAAAAAGGATTTTGTTGTTTGTTAACTACTTCTTAAGTAATAGACCTTTTTCAAAAAAAATTTTTTTTGTTATGTTAGTACACCCTTTCTTGACATATGGTATCACTCTTTCTTGATATTTGACCGCCATCTGTCAATTAGTTTGTTTACAGCAGCTGTAAAAGAGAATTCGCAGAAGGAACTAAAAGCCATATCTTCACGGGCCTACGAAAAGTGTATGGAAGATTGGGTTAAGCGTTTGCATATGTGTATCGCTTCAGAAGGAGCATATTTTGAAGGAGATAAGATAAATTTGGAATAAAATTTAAATTTGTGTGTTTTATTTACAAAATCCGGATACTTTTTGAGCTGGAGGTATGCTTTAGTTTAAGATTCTAAATTTCATTAACTTGAATGGAAGACGAAAAAAAAAACTAGATTTTTTTTCCTGGTAATACCAAAATACACACGGACATGTCACTTTCATTTAACGGAATTAGCAGGTGCTACCATCGTTTAATCCAATCTTCAAATGACGTTATTCAAAAGCAATATATCCAATTAAAAAACTTAGGATTAATCTGTTTAAATCTATTTATACCGTCACAACTGTCCATAGCTTAAGCTTTTGAAAATAATGCAGTCTAAAAATCCATATAATCTGAATGTCTCGTAAATATGGTGAAGTGAGTTACGCAAAGCTAGTCAGTTATTTGGTCAGTGTCGAACCACTCATAGCCAGGTATCCAGATAAGTGTACCAGGTTGGACCCTCATAGCCAGATCCTAGTCAACTGAGACATTTTATAGCTGCTTGTTTATCTCAATGTATAATAACGATGACCTGAAAAATTTTGTGAACACTTTCTTTAAAAGGTCACATACAACTTGATGAACTTAAATATAACCGATTCATTTCAATGCAATGCTGTTACGATTGCAATACGGAAGATTAAATATTACAAGATTAATTTTTTTTTTGCAAATACAAATATTTTATAGTTATAATAAAAATCATTGGACCACATCAAAAATACATTTTTTACAAATTTGTGAAATTGATTGAATCACAAACTTAAGCTATTTCATGGGTGTAATAAACATATACATTTACGTAAAACGTGCAATAGCTTTTTAAGTTTTTTATAGTCTTAAGTTTCTTACCAGGAAAGGTAAGACATTACTGTCATGATTAGTTTAGTAAAAACAAAAAATTTAGCCAAAATTTTCTATCGATTTGTGTACATGTTTATCTGTTTAATTAGGTCTGAGTTTTTTGGTGAGTCGAAAAAAAAACTTTAAACATAGAATTCTTGATAACTCACCATAAATGTTTTTGATTAGTTTCGAATTCTTAGGAGTTTTGTTAGATTACGTCTTATATCTATTATAAAAGCTGAGTAATCGATTAATAGTGTTCAGACTATTTTTAAATTGTCATTCATCACAGACCAGCCATGAACTATATCAGTTATTATCTAGATATTAATATAACAATTAATATCAGTATAAAAAAAACCCTTTTTATCAGAAATTGATATCGAAAGATTTATAAAATTCTTAAAGAAAATATATTAAGAATATGCGTATCATAAAAATCTTACAAAACCCCAAATCGCTATAAGGGGAGACACTTTGAAACAAGATTCATCCACCCAAGTCTGTAAAATCTATTATTTAGTCGGTGTGCATAAGATTCTAAATGTTGAGTATTATAAAAATTAATTATAAAGAATGCTCTCTGAATCGTTTAATCACTTTATACGTTGATTATAAAATTTTAGAAATTTCTGTACATTTTTTTTTTAAATACTTAAAATGTATAACATTAGTTTCGGTATAAAGCTTTTGGACTGCTTAAT